AGCAGCAATACTGAGAAGCCTAGACAAAGCTATTTTTGACATACAAGAAGCCATTTAAGGTATAAATTACTCCTCAAGTTTTCAGAATATGGATAAAAAAATTGAAAGTCACCAATTTTACTCAATAAAAGATGAACTTGCATAAACATTCAAACAAAAACATTTCAGTATTTGTAGTAAGTTTGTTCTTAAAAATCACCCATGCTTCTATTCAGCATTTTCTTCCTGGCCCACTATCAGAATATCATCACTTCTGGCATAAAACAGGGTCTGTGAAGATTACAATTTTTGTCTGGGGCATAAATTTAAGGAAGAAAAACTTGTGACAGGAACAAGAGCACACTACCAACAGGAGTACAGTGCTCAAATCGGCTTTCTCATTTTACAGCTCTATAGGGGACAAATGCCAGCAGTAACCACAGTGCACTAGTTCATATAGAAGAATCCTGAACACCCCTCTGCCTGAAAAGAGGACAAGAGGACAAAAGGTAAAAAAAGAAACCAGAGAAGAAAACAAAGCCAGTGGTATTAGTGTGAAGTTGCAAACAAAAATCAAAGACATGGCACAGCTGCAACTACCTAAAAAGACCTTTCTAAACTGCTGGAAATTATTTTTAGATTCAGATTTACACACACACACACACATACACTCTAAGTAACCATCATATCACCTGTAACAAAAAAACCCACACCTCCACACCTTAATATTTAAAAGTGGTATGAAAGCCTTATTGTAGAGGGAATAGTATTAAGAAGTAGAAAAACTAAGTTTCTCCGAATATCTAGCATCTGAAGCCTACACCTCTGAAAACATTTAGTCCTTCAAATGGAAGCATCTGACATCAATCATAAACCTACATATTACACCAGTTTCAGTGTCTGCCTGGACTTGCATGAAGCAATTAGAGTTATAATAGCACTTTTGTATTTGAACTTATTCTACCAGAACTGATTTTTTTCATAAGCATATTAAATATAATTAAGTCATTTCCAAATATACTAAGTTTGTTCTTAAGCTTTCTAAGCAATAATTCTATGGTCACCAAATTGTTTTCTTCCGCAGCTTTCCCCACACTACAAATGCAAGCACAGTGTATTTATTTTGCCAAGGAAACGTCATAACCTAGTGTATGTGTGTATTTGTACAAACTCAAAATAATACATTTTGTAAATGGAAAAATAATATCAAAGTAGATCTAAATTTTAAAAATACAAACTAATATTGCAGAATAGAAGACTCAAACTGGAAAAAAGGAGTGTAAGAATATTCTAAGAAGTAAACCCAGGGGAACACAGAGACTGAACCATTGCACTTGCTTCAATTGTGTTTGAAATAGCTCACAACAATACTAGCGGAAAACCCAACACTTTATAATTATGTTGTATAAACAGACATAATAACAGGACACAAGGGAAAAGCAGTTCCCTAAAAGCTTAAATATCCTCCATGGACATGCAAGATTTCAGCAAACTATAAATTAATCTAAAGAATAGAGAAAGGCAAGCTAATTAAGTGTACAGAAATAACAGATAGTATCAGACCAGCACAGAACACTGTCTGGCCTTTACAACTCTTTCATACAAATGCTGATCAAGTACAGAACACAGATGCTCTTCTATATTTTGTAACCAACTACAGCTGCTTTTCAGAGAGATGCCCCTTTCAGTTAGAACCGAGTATGACTCTGGCTTTATTGAAGTCAAGGCTCTCATTGACTTAGAGCAAACTCATGGCTGTGCCATGTCTCTTATACTGGGTCATCAGTCCCCAATCCCCATGCTTACTTTACTGAATCTGAATTTTAAAGTTTGTACAAGTCTGAAAGAGTCTGGGTGTTTTCAATAACTGTTCCAAACAACAGATCCTCAACACAGCAGATTCACATGTGAAGAGCCACGCCAAAACTAGACTAGGGAGTTAACCTCCTATTAGTAAAAGATCATCCTCATGAAGCAACAAAATACAAGGCAGATTATTTTCTTGAAAAAAAACAGGTGCCATACAAACACTCCAAACGAGGTCAAGAGTGAAAGGGCCTGAGTTAAATTAAGCATTAAATCAGAGACAGTCACCTCAAAAGCAGATGAAGGATTTATTTTAAAAAATAATCTTTTACTACCCTTGCTCAATCTATAAACATGTCAGAAACATTTGTCTTTTCAAGGCAGAATTAGCAGAAGTTGGCACCTACAGAAAGAGACAGGCACCACCAGCAGAACAACAACAAGCCTTTAATTTTTGTTACATAACACAACTTTATGGAAAACTTTGTAGCTTGCCAGTTCAGAGAATAAATGAAACACAAATGAAGCATTACACTGAAGTTAAGCTTAGTGTGCCCTTAGGACTCTACCAGAAAGCACAATCTAGAAATTCTCTATCTATTCAAAGAAAATGGAAAAAAATTGAAAAGGATTTTCTTTTCAACTACATCAACTTACTTTGATTTCTCTTCTCTCCTCTCATGAATGTATCATTTTAGCTTCCAGTAAAGATTGTGCCACACAAGTAGATCTCCAAAGACAATACTACCAGATTCCATAAATTTGACTTAGTTCTTACAGGCATATAGAGGTCTCCTCCACTGTAATATTATGCAACAAACATCAAATCGTTCTGTTAACTGCTCCACTACCCCCAGCCCACCTGCAGCTGGAATGAAAGTCTCATGCATGTGTCAAAAAGTGGAGTATGTTCCCTCCTCCAGCTGAGGGGCTGATGATTATACCCACTACCCACACAACAACTATCTGCATATTTAAGAAATTGTATTCACCATGTAACTTCATGACCAGCAAGGGCAGGAATGATTAGGAGGGGATGTTAACATAAAAGGTACATGTAAGCGACATACTCTGTATACTTTGTTACGCTTAAACTAACCACAAGCATAAACATACTTGCAATATGCTGCTACAGCTATGCAAGAGCCACAAGAAAGTTGTATACTCAGCTGTGGATGGCAGCAGTTTATGCACTCAAGAAGCCCTGTGGTCTTAAAACATAAATTAAAGACAAGATCACAACTGTACCAATGCATGATTTAAAAGGCAAAATTGTTATTATTATCCCTACTGATTAAACCACAACATAGACGGCCTGTCATCAATATTGAATATGCAAGTACAGTTTCAAGAGCAAGAATATTCCGCCTCCACTGTCCAAATAAAGCAACACTGCACCTCTAAAATACGAGTTATTGTCTTATGTGATTTCTTATGTGACTACACCAATAGAAGAGTTACCAATTGCTCTAGAGGGGCTGAAAAAGCTTTAGAGAGGTAGCTGCAGTATAGATGAGTTAGTTCTTTAAGATTTAATAGACCTTCACTATTTGCAACAGTTCCTGGAGAGGCTGCACACAGCCATTCCTTCGGACTCAAAATTTGTGCATCCTACTAAGTTCAAAAGCACAATATGTAGCACACGATGTATCAGAACAAGACTCTGGTGGATATAAGTAGAAGATGATTAGCAAATACAAATGGAAAAAGGGTCACTGAGGAAAAGATGGATGCTAGCATCCAGGAGAGATGCATGGTTTGTGCATACACTTGTGTTTTCGTAGCACAAAGGAGATTAAGGTAATGTTTAAAGACCTCTTTACAAAAACATAGTTTTCTTTTCATGCCCCTCCACTGGTCATGGCTCTCATGACATACACAACATCCACTCACAGAAAAGAGACGGTCCAGAAAATCTTCTCAAGTAACAGTTCTCTTCATACAGACTTGTTCTGCACTCTTCAGAAAAAAATATCCCAGAAATATAACACTTCACCAGAAAAAAGAAGGTCTTAACATATGGATTCATAAAAAAATAGAAAAGAAATTAACACACTAGGGATCCAAGCAAGTCTCTGTTATCAAATAACCTAACCATAGGCCTACATAAATCAGTTAACAGTGGTATTTAATACTGTCTCCCAACACAGCTGAAAAATATTTAAAGCTAAATTATGAAATCATATTTTAACTCAAGAAATCCATTCTTACACAGCAGTAACCAAAAAGAGAATGCAATTGCCGAGCTGAGATCGGATAGCATGTACACAGAAGACAACACTGTGTGTCTCCTATGCGCAGCATGTATTTCCTTCCTTGAACTGAAGCAGAAGAGAAACAAGCCCCATCAAAACAACTCTATCAGCTTTGAATAGTCCTGAAAACAATTATGAGGCAGTCAGAGAGGAAACCACGACAGCTCTCTCCATCTGCACATAAGGTATAGTGTTGCACTTGGCTACAGAAGGTTGAGGAAGATGGGACAGCACAGGCACTGCTTATGTGCTCTGTACGGCTCCACTGGGAGAGCATGGGGCACGCAGCAGCACTTCACGACATGAGGGGCTGGGGAAAACACGAAGGTTACACACATCCGTTGCAAACAGAGCAGCAAAAGACAGGAGGATCTTAGTATCAGAAGCGATAAGGCGAAATCCCACCCATGCCTTACAGTAAGAAGGCTGCACTTGAGGGCTGAGGTGTTGAACACGTCGTAACGCAGCGGACAGGAGCGCATTCAGAAGCACACCTCTGTCCTGCGCACAGTACTTCCCCTTTTCGCTGAAGGCACAGGGAGAGGGAAGCCCTCAACCGGGTAAGAGCTGGGATCCTCACCAGCCGGCCCTCATGCCCCCTCGCACCCAGCCCGGAGGGAGGAGGGATGCACGCACGGCTATGCCCACCCGGGACACGCCACCCGAGTCACCCTGGACACGGGGGGAGAGGGGGGGCTGGGGCGAGGGGCAAAGCAGCGAAGGGCAGGCAACGGCCGAGGGAAGGAGCGGGACAACCCCGCGGCTGCCCGGCGACGGGGGCCTTGGGGGGG